GTTCGCCCGTTTGCCACGAGTGGGTCTCTCACTGCTGGCTGTCAGCGTCCGCTCACGGGGGCCCCTGGCGGCGCGCCGCGCGCGCCCCCATCTCTCGGTGGCGTCAGGAAGTGCGGATCACCCAGACCGAGGCTTTCGAAGATCAGCCGAAGGTCGCGTGGCCCACTGTCCAGGGCCCCCTCTTTCGATGCTCGTTTCGGGGACCTTCCTGGAGCCCACCTGACGGATCTGTTCGACCCCAGTTCGACTCAGGTTCGACTCAGGCTCGACTCAGGTTCGACTCAGGTTCGACTCAGGTTCGACTCAAGTTCGACTCAGGTTCGACTCAGGGTCGACCCAAATCGACTGACATTCGACGCAGCTTCGACGCACGAGTGGAGCGAGTGGCTCCAGGAAGGTCCCCAGAACGAGCATCCCACCCTCTCGGTCCTCCGTTTCTCCCTATCCCCGGGCTCGCTTGGAGGATGGAAAACTACATGGCGAGCCTCGAAGGGAGAGGGCGGCGCGCCCCCCCCTCGGCCCCACCCTCCCCCGAGTTGCTCGAGATCGAGATCGTCAAAGTGCAGGCTCGGCCTCGTCATTTTTGTTGACGACCTCGCCGGGGATGTCCGAGTCCCCTGTACCCAGGTCTCACGTCCCCCTGATCGAGGGCCCCCCTCTCGGTCCTCCGTTGCTCTGTCCCGCGGGGCTCGCTTGGAGGACGGCAAAACTGCACGGCGAGCCTCGAAGAGAGAGAGGGCGCGCGCCCCCCCTCGGCCCCAACCTCCCCCGAGCTGTTCGAGATCCAGATGTTGTGCAGGAGGGAAAAGACACACAGACACAATGAATCGTCGATTCCGCAGGACATGGGAAAAGATGGGGAGTGGGGGGGAAGACAAAAGCCCAGAAATATATAGGAAAATATGACGGATATGTCTATTCGTGTGTATTGATTTGTGTGTCCTGGGGCCCCCTTCAGTTGTGCAGGGAAGCTTTCACGGAGGGACCTGAACCGGACCTTGCTGCCTTTGGGGGGCGGGCAGCAGGTTGTGCCCGGATGTCCCCGAGGCTGCTTGTCGTTTCAAGAATCCCACTCCAGCCCAGAGAGGCTGCATCAGAGCGTGTGTTAGTAGTGTTGTCTGGATTGCTGATCACGCGATCTACTGCTGATGCGAAGCGGGCCCCTTGGGCCCTCGATGCCACAAATGGCCTGACTCGGTCGAAAATAGTCTGTTGAAGTGCTCGGGAGATGAGGTTTCAGTGCTCACGGCTCAGTTGGTCAGGCTGCCCCCGCAGCCCTGGCAATTGAGGCGGCCAGGTCATCCCGCCGACTGGCTTCCCAGGCCAGCCTGTGAGCATGCGAATGCATTGCAGCATGTCTGGCGCCGCACCGAGCCCGCTATGCCCGAGGGCCCCGCGATCCCGGCCAACGGAGATATGCGGGGCCGCTCCCTTCAGCCAGCGCCATTCGGTCATCACCATCTCTCGCCAGCTATGGAGGATGAGGCTGCTATTTGCCACCTCACCATCTCACCATCACACTCCCGGGGCCAGCTCTTCCATAGATATCCTCCATCCTCATCGATGGATCCCGCCAGCGCCACTCAGTCAGGAAGCTGACCAGAACTGCCCAGGCGATTGCCATGATGTCGGAGGGGGGTGGGGGGCGCCCTGGTGAAGTGCGCGGTCCTGTCCGCGCCCATCTACCACAGACCCCCCAAAAGCTGCCGAGCTCACAGCCAGTCGGGGGCGGCAGAGAGGGGGGTTATGACTAAGGGGGTGTGGATATCATGGCGGGGGCCATGATATTTCCTCAGATTTTATGGCGCATCTTCTCATTTCATTACGTCCCTGACCCCCCCGCTGGGCCGCGCACATGCCGCCGGTCATGATTTGCACCCCCCCCTCTTGGACACCCCCCTCTTGGCCGCTCCCGAGCCAGATGTGTTGTGCCCCATAGTGTTCTTTTTTAGGTTACCATGTGCCCAGACTGCGCCAGCGTGGTTCATCAGAGCCACCCTCCTACTCGGAGAAGCCTTTCAGGAGAGAGAGAGAGAGAGAGAGAAAGAGAGCCTACTTTGGAAGGATCATGCAGGCAAACGCGCTCGAGGGCCAACTCGTAGACGATACTCTTATGGTAGAGACACGTTTTGACCCAGACGAGGCCAACATCACGGCCCAAAACGAGTTCGTACGTTAGGGACTCTGATGCCGGCCAAGCATGGAAGCATGGAATTAAGCATGGAATGAAGCGGGGACGTAGGATATCGATGCGTCGCCATTGACTCGGCCAGAGCCCATTGTATCATTGCGGCTTACTGTTGCCTCTCTGGCTCAAGCTTTTCTTTGAAGTGCCATGTGCTCCCCCTGTGACTCCGGTTCCTCCTTCCCCCCCCTCCCTTCCCCAGATCCCTCGCAGGTGGGAGCTGCGGTACGACAGTACGAGATGTGCTACGTGTCTGAAGGGCAGGCGTGCGGGAGGCGCCCCGCCTGTTCCAAGTTGCACGTTGCGAGGCAGCAGGCCTTGGGCCACAATATTGTCGCCATTGAGTGCTCGGACAGTGCTGTTTGCCTGAAGTGCAAGCGTCACTCCTCAAGCGCTTCTGTCAGAGGCCTTGCTGCTGATTGCAGTGTGCCCCCGTTTCTTGCTGCTCGGCTGGGATGGCGCGCTCTGTGCAAAGGGCAGGCATTCTTATTTTTCCAAGCAGATTCTTAACGTGTCTGTGACATTGGATAATCGTATGGTGTGTTTTGCCACAGGTGCCTTTGTTGATTATGTAACGCCTCTGGACTCGGAGGATGAGGACCTCCAGCATACAGAGTCTGGTGAGCTTCAGAGCGCTGCGGCACAGCTGCAATCTGATCATTCGGGGGGAGGTCGGGGGAGTGTCGGTCAGCACTTCAGATCTGCCGCTTCATCTTCAGTTTGTTTTGTGCAGGCTCTATTCGAAGTGGCGCAATATTTCTGAGAGGGGGAGGACGAGCGCCCCTTGGTTATGACGCAGATCCCCGACAACGGAGAAGACTCCGACTGATTGGGCCTCCTAGTTTCTTAATTTGGCACGCCTGGGGAATCTCCTCTCTTGGCCTTACCCTTTGCTACCTGGCCCCCTGCCGTGCTGCCCGGGATGTTTCATCCACGGGTAGTATTGCTCAGCCTGCTGACTGTCTTGATTGGCCGCGCCGGCCTCCGGTCCAGGTTGTGGCGAGGATGACACGATGCAGGCTGCAGTCTCTTCCTACTGCTCCCCTTAACGCCACCGCTGCTTCAGTTCTGATGAGTTTCAGCCCAGGGGTCCTGGCCATTCGTGCCACGGCTGCTGGCCTTGTGCTTTGGCGCATGATTCTCGCCAATGTGTCGTTTCAGGTATTCTCGAACTGTCCGCGCTTGGTTGGGGTTCTTGGCCCCGCGTGTCCTGGCCTTGGTTTTGCCACCGCAGAGTTCGTCCACATGTGACGCAATGTTTCATGCTTCAGGTTTGTCTTGATGCAAGCTCGTGGCACATTTCAGCGGAGCTAGGTGGCAGGTCCCGCCTTGCCCGCTAGTTGCACTCAGCGGTGGGCCCAGTCGAGGTCAAAAAAAATCGTCCTCCCTCTCCTCCTCCTCCTCCTCCTCCTCCTCCTCCTCCTCCTCCTCCTCCTCCTCCTCCTCCTCCTCCTCCTCCTCCCCCTCCTCCCCCTCCTCCTCCTCCTCCTCCTCCTCCTCCTCCTCCTCCTCCTCCTCCATTCCTTTGCCTTATGATTATCGTCCCTGTCGCAGCCCGAGGCCAGTTTTTTGGGCGGGCCGGGCGTTTCGCCTGAGACTCTCACCGTTTATGGTTCTGAAGCTTAAGAATTGGCAAGTGTTTCACATATGGTTCTCGCCTTAGCGCGACGCGCATTCGTGTTAAATATTTGCAAGAGTTTCACGGATTGAGGGTTGGTGATTTTCAAAATGTGGTTCTCGCCCCAGCGCGGCGCACATTCGTTTTTAAGATTTGCAACAGTTTCACAGATGGAGGGCGGGTGGTTTTCAGAATGTGGTTCTCGCCTCAGCGCCGCGCACATTCGTTTTAAACAATTTCAAGAGCTTCGCGGATTGATGGCGGGTGGTTTTCAAAATGTGGTTCTCGCTTCAGCGCGGCGCACATTCGTATTTATGTTTTGCAACAGCTTCCCAGATGGAGGGCGGGTGGTTTTCAAAATGTGGCTCTCGCCTCAGCGCCGCGCGCATTTGTTTTCATATTTGCAAGAGTTTCATGGATTGAGGGCGAGTGGTTCTCACAATGTGGCTCTCCCTTTGGCGTGGCGCAAATTCGTTTCACATATTCGCAATTGTTTCACGGATTGAGGGCGGCTCCTTTTCAAAATGTGGTGTTCGCTGCAGCGCCGCGCAAATTTGTTTTGAAGATTCGCAGAAGTTTCACCAATTCCCATCATCAACGTACCAGAAATAGTTGTCTTGAAGGGTTCAGAATTATGCGGGTGTAACAGTTACGTTGACTCTCTGCGTGGAAGTCCTAGGAATGGCGTTCTGGCACAAATTCAGGATCGTCAAGACGCAACAGTCAGGTTGATCTGTGGCGCTGGAATCCCCAGAACAATGTTTCGGCATGCTGCAGGGTCTTCAAACGGGTACCTTTTAACGAGGCAGTTCCATCAATGGAAATGAACTCTTGTAGGGGCCTATGAAGAGGGAGCTTGGAGGGTGGGTTTACTCCAACATCGTTGATGACTCTTAGGTTTGCAAGGGTCCTCCTCCTCCTCCTCCTCCTCCTCCTCCTCCTCCTCCTCCTCTCCCGCATCCTGCGCCACCTCTTCCCGCCCCCCCACCCGCTACCTCCCCTTCGTCCCCGCCGTCGCCGCTGTCGCTGCCGCTGTCCTCGCCGCCTCCGGCATCGGCGCCAGCGGCAGCGGCGGCGTCCGCGGGCGGCGGTGTCTGCCGCGGCGGCGGTCGCGGCGTCGTCGGTCGCGCGCGGGCGCTCGTCGGCTGGAGCCTTCCCGGCGGGCGTGCGCGCGCTTTCCCGCTCCCGTCCGCTGAGGTGCTGTTCCCCCTCGCGCACATCAGTGGCGGCTTCGGGAGACCCCTCGCTCGCTCGCCGCCGCCGCCGTCGCCGCCGCCGTCGACGTTATCGCCGCCGTCTTCGTCGCCGTCGTCGGCGACGCAGCCGTCGTCGACGCTGTTGCTGTCGTTCCCGTTGTCGTTGTTGACGCAGTCGTCGATGCGGCCGGCGTCAACGCTGACATGGTCACCGACGCGCTGTTGTCGCCCTCGTCGTGGAGGTCATCGTCGACGTGGTCGGCGTCGTCGACGTGGTGAGCGCCGGGGATTACCTTTCGATACAAGACACGAAGGAGGAAAGTGGACGACGGGGACTTCGTGGGAAGGAGGAGGAGGAGGAGGACGAGGAGGATGAGGAGGAGGAGGTACTCCCCGCCTCCAAATCATTTCTCCTGCCCGGTCCTCCCTTCCTAAAGGTCTTTCGCCCCCTTCTAGACCTCCTCCACCCGCTCGACGAATGCTCTCGGCAGCAGTGTTGCGGTCAAGGCGATGCAGGCAGGAGGACCAACCACCCTAGCCTCAGGAGGGGCTTTTCGTTTTCGGGCCGTGGCTGACTGGGTAGTCGAAGGCCAGACTGTCAGATTGGATTGGGCCCCAAGGGCCAATCTGGCCCGGCCAAACTGGACGATTTGGGTTATTCGCCAGACTGGATTCGCGTTGGCTCCCTCGCCAGATTACCCCCGTTTGCCAGATTGGGCCTGCCAGATTGGCTTCGACTACCCAGTCCAGGTCCGGGAACCTCTTCGTGGCCGAGGTGCGCCGCGGCCAGGAGCGCCCGCTCGATCCTTCGGCCGTTGCCGCGACGGCGACGGCGGCGGCCAGGCCTCCCGCCGACGGCGACCCCTCCGAAGGCCCACGACGACGGTCGCCGACGGCAGCACGGCCGCGGACGACGACTGTCGCCGACGGCTGCGAGCGCCGCCGCCGCCGCCGCCGCCGCCAGCGGCAGCGGGGCCGGCGGCTGCGGCGGCCGCCGCCGCCGGCGGCGGCCCCACGTGCGGCAGGGCGCCCGCCTTCGCCGCCTACCCGCACTGCCGGCACGGCAGCCTCGGGGAGTGGCTCGCAGCGCGCAGGGCTGCGGGCCGGCCCGTGGGGGCGGCGCAGGCGCGCCGGCGTGCGGCCGGCGGTGTCCGCTGTCGTCGCCTTCGGTGGCCGCAGTCGGCGTCGTCGGCCTCGTCGCCGGCGTCGTCGTCGGGAGTCGGGCGGCAGCGTCATCATCATCATCATCATCATCATCATCATCATCATCAGCAGCAGCAGCAGCAGCAGCATCATCAGCATCATCATCATTATCATCATCATCAGCATCATCATCATCGTCGTCATCAGCATCATCATCATCATCGTCATCATCATCATCATCATCATCTCCATCTTCCTCATCATCATCATCAACATCAGCACCATTATCATCATTATTATCAGTATGATTATCGTCATGATCAACCTCAACATCAACATCATCATCACTATCCTTATCAGTATCGCCATCATCATCATCACCATCATCATTATTATCATGGTGATCAGCGTGGACGTTGTCGTCGCCGTGGAGGGCCGCAGCCGTTAAGCAGTGGCGAGGTGCCCTGGTTTGCCTGCAGTAATTTGGGGAACGAAGAGTGACAGAAACATCAAACAAACTCAGAGGTTCGCGCGGATTCCTCGGATCGGCGGTTCTCCCTTCCCCTACAATAGGCCCACTAAATAATGTTCTCAACCGTTTGTGGTCTGCACTAAATTGTCTTTGAGCATGTCTGGCTGGGGCTGTCTTGTTTTAACACATCTGGCTTATGCTCTACGAACATTGTTTTTCTTTCTTAGAATATTGCTGGGTTCCAAGAACATTTCGTGGTAGGCCTCCTGGAATGCCGGGACGGCCCGTCCCTGCTCAACGGTCGCCGCAGTCGGCGTCGTCGGCGCCGTCGGCCGCGGCGTTGGCGTCGTCGTCGGGCGTCAGGCGGCGGCGTCGGCTGCGGGTCGTCGGTCTTCGGTCGTGGTCGTCGTCCGTTCCTCGTCGGTCGGGGGTCGTCGTTAGACGGTGTTCGGTCGTCTTGCGTCGGTATCGCTTGTCACTCGTCGGTCGTTGGTTCTCGTTCGTCGCTCGTCGGTCGTCATTGTGCGTCGGTCGCTGGTTGCCCATTGTCAGCATTCTGTCACCGTCGTCTTCTCGCGGGTCGTGGGGCGAGGAGCCAGTTTTTGCGAGGTCTCGCTTTCGGGGCCCAGAGGTTGCTCCTCGTGGCCACCGCCAGATCCATTCAGAATGTCTGGAAGCAGGAGTCCCTGGGGCAGGCCAGGTCGTGCCCAGGAGCCCAGGCCTCTACAGGAGGAATATCCAACAATAACCAAAAACTAGTACGGATATGATTTTTCGATTTGTTGATATTTAGTGATATTTTGGAGATATTATTGTTCGTCCAAAATCCGCCTGTAGGGGGACACGCCCGACCTAGTGCTTGTTGGCGGCGGGTCCTTTAGGGCATGCAGGTGCCCTCGTAGCCGCGGCTGGATCCGTCTCGAAGTCCTGGTCAGGACGCGTCCCAGTCGGGGTCATCGTTCCCCCTTCTCCCCAGCCTCCTCCTCCGCGCGACAAGAGAGTAGGGAGGAGGAGGAGGAGGAGGAGGAGGAGGAGGAGGAAGTCCGTAGCCATTTTGGCTCAAGTCCGGAGGCATTGCTCAAGGACAGAGGTCTTTTCGGCAAAGGGAGAGACGGCCCCAGCAGCATACCAGTCCGTGTACTGAAGTGAGGGTTCCTCGCTTTTCACTGACTCTCAACGTATTCCTCTTCTTACATCTTGCTTGCCTATGACAGGCAAGGATGTTAATTTCTCTCGTGGCAGCGTGGTGTGTGGCTTTTGCGGTTGCCGTCGGAACCCCACCCATTATCGGTGGTGCTACGCATGTGGATCAGATCTCCGCCTGGTCACCCAGCAACCTCACCAACCAGCTCAAGGTGTGTGGCAGCACAGCAACTTGGGCAACGGTTGGGGAGCTTGGAACTGGAAGGCCAAGGGCGGCCAAGGCGGGAAGGCTTGTTCCGGAGCTTGGCTCTTGACGTCGCGCATGGCCGATGCGTGGAAAACGTTGAACGCCGCTGGTGCAGGCGGGCAGCCCTCCTTGAAACCTCTTGACAAAGGATGCGTTTCCGATGAGCCCTCCCGCGTCTTCAGCTGGTAGCTTGCGTCTCCGCACAATCCCCGCATCACATTTTTCAACGTTTTTGGGGTGCCCAATCTTTTTGTTTCTGTAGACAGCCCCCCGCGCCACCCTCGCGCACGCGTTCATGATGCCCGTACACGTTGCTACCAGCGGGTCGAACTTTGGCGTCTTGGTATAGTTGACATCGTGAGCCGCGTTTAGCAACAGTCGTACAATCAAGATGGGGCCCGCCACCGAACGACGACGTCGAAAACCAAATTGTGTCGGAGGGAGAATATGGTTATCTGCTGCATGAGCCAGGCATCTCTTTGCAACAAGACGGGCAACAATATGTACACAATCATACATACTAGAACTATCTGACGGTAAGCATTCGGGTCAGCCTTGGAGCCCTTCCGCGTCCATAGCAACATTCCCATTTCGGCCTTCGCATTCTGCTCCCAACTCTGATCATGCGTTCTCCAAAGACCCTGAACCAAATCAATAATTACGTCCAGCATCTCCTCCTCCGCTGCGCGTATCATGGAGATCGTCACCTCGTCCTTCCCAGGCGCCGAATCCTTCGTCTCCAGGACGCAGTATCCTACTTCATTTCGAGCGGGATGACGACCCAAATCCTCATTAACAGGAACTTGTGGGAGCCCTCTCTCCAATGCCTCATCCTCCACCTTCCCAGGTAGCCCGCTTGTCTGCTTCAGCTCTGCTATCCTACTATCTGCGGACGCCTGCTCTTGACCCTCGCGTGACCGATCGTGGACTTGGACACCCAATTTCTTCCAATCTTGGTGAAAAAAACACCCCAGTCATTGGTGGCTGCGAAGGACATCAGATCTTCAATACTAGGTTTAGAGCATACGTGGCGTGCACGATATCGCAAGCGAGGAATCATCTTCCCCAATTGTTTGCGTGCGTCTCGAAAGCTCTGCTCGCCGGCTACGTCCCCAGCTCTCTGTCGTTGCTCCCATATGCGAGCACGTTCTTGTCTCAGGGCCATGATATTCTGCATGCCCTCCTCCAGAAAGGGCGCTCCCAACTGGCTTGCAGCCTTCCATCGCCCCAAGACCGCCTCTGCCGCTTGTGCCACGATACTTGAAGCCCGTGTCCATGTCATATTCGTTTGCGTATATATATATATATATACATATATATATATACTCTCTCTCTCTCTCTCTCTGTTCTGAACGAGCTGAGGGTCGCGAATAGTCCATGGTAATATCTCCGCAGTGGCGTCGATGTCTGGCATGTTCGGCTCCTCATGCTGTAGGTCCTCTCCGCGCTGTAGATCTTCAAACGAATCAGCATATTCTGAGTCAAATTCAGGCGGGGGTAGCCCAGAAGGTGGCCGGAAGGGGCGCGTACAAAGCGCGACTGGTCCAGCTATGCATGGCGACCGTGGGCTGCCCGAAGGCAGCGATCCGACACGTGGCGATGTGAGCCCAGCGGTCCGCGCGCAGTCCCAGTCTACCAAGGAGCCGACGGTCTCATGCTCAGCCCCGGTCGGCCCTCCGAAGGGGCCGACGGTTCCGAGCGGAGCCCCAGTCGACTCCCCGTGGAACGACGGTCCGCGCCCAGCCCCGGTCGGCCCTCCGAAGGGGCCGACGGTTCCGAGAGGAGCCCCAGTCGACTCCCCGTGGAACGACGGTCCGCGCCCAGCCCCGGTCGGCCTTCCGAAGGGGCCGACGGTTCCGAGCGGAGTCCCAGTCGACTCCCCGTGGAACGACGGTCCGCGCGCAGTCCCAGCCGGGGCTTGCGCTCTAACATGCGTCCTAACGCTTGGTCGTGTTTGGCCATCTTCTGCATATTGCGCCCCGCAGCTTCAGCTCACGCTCGACCCCCGCGTCTGCGTTTGCGTCGGCGCGGTCATTGCCCGCATCGCCAGAGTGGCCTCTAACATGCACCATGCAAACATCTCGCCGGCTTTCACTTTCCTGAACAATGCGCGGCCCGTGGCAATCAATTTCTGGTTGCTTTTTCTCCAGTTTCCAGATAACATATTTGCCACGCATTGGGAGTCGCAGTGCATTGTAATCATGTCCTCTGCCGTCGCATTGTCTAGTACCCACCAGCACGCCATAATCAGTGCTGAGAGCTCTCCAGCATCATTCGTGAGATGCTCTGCTCCCAAGAAAATCTACATCAGCTCCTCATCCTGCAGAGTGACCGCTGGACCAAACATGCCAATACATTCCCTCGTCTCTGCCGTGATGATTCCAATTCCCCAACCAGCCCCATCCTTTGTGCCCGAGCCGTCCGTGAAGATCTGATAATGCCTGGCCCCTTGCGTCGGAGTGGCACGAAAGGGTCGACGTCGAGGATGCGGGGTCCAGTTGGGGTCCTCGCGCTGCGGGGCCGTCGCCTTCGCTCGGTGCTGTTCGCGCAGTGATTCCGCCTGTGCTGATGGGCCTCGGAACTTACAGATAGAACGGGGGGGAAGGACCGCTTGTTCTCTTGCCCGTCTCTGTCGTTGTATGTGGAAGTGTCTTCGAGCTGCTCTCTTCGCGTCGCTTCCTGCCCGCGGTAATTGCAACTCAGTATGTTTGGGGAAATGATCCGGCACGCCCCACGCATGACTATACATACCCAATACTTGTCTGTGCAACTCTATATCCATAACATAATTGCCCAACTCATACCATTGCCCATCTCTGTGCTTCCATGTCCCTCTCGAAATCAGACTGAAAAGCGGGTCGGTAGTATTGATATCCGCGTTTGTCAGCCACCGTCGAAAAAGTTTTCCCTCCATCCGGTGTGCTCCTCTTCATAGGATGTTAGCATATTTCGATGTTGTTGGCCACGGTGTCTCTACCAACATACCCGTTCCAGTAATTCCCTATGGCGATTGATCCCTGATGTAGTTGATGGCACGTGTACTTCACGTCTGAAATACCATCATATATTTGACGTCTGAAACCTGCGTTGCCCCCTGTGGGGATATAAGCACTAACCATCCAGACACACATATTACTTTCCAGCAGTAGCGGTGTGGCTACGCATCTTTCATTCCAAACAATCGTAAGTAATGCATTGTTGTTTCGTGTTCGATCCTGCTCTCCATGCCATCAGCGTAGCCGTCGTTAGACTGAACCCGCATTACACAATCATGACCACTGTCAACTCTTCAGCTTTGACACTCGTGAGGATGCCTCCATCCTTCTCGTGCGTTCCATTGTGGAGCTCGGGGGGCAGGCGCACGTCGACCTTGCGCTGGCCCTGCTTGATCAAACACATCTGAAACTCGTCTCTACTGCCATATCGAGATCAGTCCAGTCCATCCATATTCGTGGTGGCAAGTCTCACCCGCTGGCCAACTGGCCGGCGAGGTTGGCGGCATGCATGCCGAATTCTGAATTGCCGCCGCCCCGCCCGCGAAGACGTCGCAGTCATCTTCACAATGACGGGCTGCCGATCTTTGGAACCTGCATCCTTATCAACGGTGCCGCACTGTCCAAGAGACTTGGATTGCACCTTCCTCTTGCCACCGCGATACGAGAAGGAGAGCCGCTTTATCTTCGAAGTCGAAGTCTTCGTCATAATGATTGGAGGGTTTAGTCAGCTCTCTGTTGTAGAAAATGAACATACGCAACAGCTGCTTCTCGCCCGCCCCGTAAGAGGTCCCCGACGTGGACGCGCAGTTGTTCATGAGCGCGACAAGCGCGTGAACCTGGAGTTGATTGAATCTTCATTTCGCGCATTCTTGGTGGGCTCGCGGTGGTTCTTCCCCGCGTTGGTGTTATGCGGTGTCCCTCGTCCTCATCGGGATGATGCCCATACTGATGGTGTCAATGATGGCGCAGTGCTCCTTGGAGGTTTTCTCGTTGTCGTCCCTGCGGTCCTCCTTCTCGAGCTGGGTGACATTGTTCTGTTCCTTCTGGTTATTGTTCACGTCGTCCTTCCAGTCCCAGTTAAGCGATATCCTCCTTCCGCCTGGACAGTCCAGCTCCGACCGCTGGTTGCGTCTTGGGTCGTGCAGCTGGTTTGGGTGATGGCTGTGGACGCGGTTGCCGCTCGGGTGCTCCAGATTTCGTAATAAAAGGGAGGGGGTCTGGACCCTCCAAGACAAGCCATTGCAGACCTCCCCAGTGGGAGAACCCTCCAAAACATCGTCCCCAGACCCCCCCCCGAAATGAGACCCCCCTCCCTTTACTACGAAATCTGGGGTACTGGTCCTTGGCGCCGCGGTGGCTGCCCGAAGTCGCGGTGGCTGCTGCGCGCCGTGGTGGTGCGCAAGGCTCTGCTGCGCCTCGAGGGATCGAAGCAGCGTGCGACGGCTGGCTGCCTCGCGTCGGCGCCGCCCGTGCCGGGCGGGGCTCCCGGATCCTGTGGCCGTTGATGCCGTCGTGGGGCCACGCAGGCCAGCGCGAGCGGCGATGATGTCTTGGACGCTGTGGTGGCTGTGGAGGAGGAGGAGGAGGAGGAGGAGGAGGAGGAGGAGGAGGTGGAGGAGGAGGAGGAGGAGGAGGAGGAGGAGGAAGAGGAGGAGGAGGCGCGCGCGCGGGCGCCTACGGGGCGTGGCGGGGCGCCTCGCTGTCCACCGCCGCGGCGATCCAGAGGGCCAGTCCCTCGGGAACCTCTCGGGCGCACGTGGCTCCTCCTCCTCCTCCTTCCCTCCTTGCTCCTCCTCCTCCTTCCCTCCTTGCTCCCCCTCCTTCTTGCTCCCCTCCTCCTCCTTCCCTCCGAGGTTGACTGAGCCATCGTCCTTTCTCGCCGAGCGTGACCCTGCAGCACCTGGCGGGGAGGGTCGAGCGCTCGAGTGGCAAGGGCCGAGGAGAGCGAAGAGCTGGCAGGGCAGCGGGGGAAAGGAGGGGCCGTTTTCGTTCCGATGTCGTTGTGCAGCAGAGGCGGATTGACGACCAAACGAGGGGAAACAGAAACAAGGCGAAAGCGAACAACACGACTCAGTTAGATCTCTGTGGTAAAGTAGAGGGAGGAGGGACCAGCTCCCTACAACCCAAGAGGAATTCCTGAGTGCAAGCAGACGACGGCGGCGACAGCGACGGTGACGTCGAGGACGACGACGACGTCGAGAACGACGACGACGACGACCCTGACCACCACGACAACGACGACGACGACGACGACGACGACGACGACGGCGACCACCACCGCCGTTGACGACCAGCGGCAGCGGCAGCGGCAGAGGCGACGACGGCGGCGACCTCGATGACCACGACGTCGGGAGCGACCGCGACCACTTCTCGGCGGCGAGCGAGGAGGGGAAGTGAGAAAGGGCGGGCCTTCTCGGAAGCCCCCTGGCCTTCTGAGAAGTCTTCTGAGCTTTCATCGAGGACACAGAGAACCTCTCGGAAGGCGCGAGGGATTCCGAGAAATCCCGCCGCCCTTTAAGAAGGCTCGTCCCTCGCTCGCCGCCGAGTTCAGTTTTCGGGTCATAACTTGGGTCTCCAGCGGCCGTTGGGGACGATCCGGGCATCCCTGGAATGCTCTCGGCGAGGCGCAGCCGCTGGAACGCATCCCGAGGGCGGAAAACCGCCAAGGACCGACGAAACCGCCCGAGGACCTAGCACCTCGAAGTTCCCCCCCCTCGCTCGCCGCCGAGCTTCGACGGCGGCGACCACGGAGTCCACTGCGGCGGCGGCGGCCGCCGCGACGGCCACGACGCCTGGCGGCGGCCGCGCCGCCCCTCGGAGGCCGCGCGCGTGCTGCTCGGGGCGCTGGCGGGGGTGGACGCGCTGCAGGGCGCCTGGGGCCACGCCGCCGTGAAGGTGCCGCTCTCCGCCGCCCGCCGCTCGATCGCTGGAGGATCGACCAGCGAGGGCCTGTGAGGAATACACCTTACTCCAGATTTCGTAATAAAATGGAGGGGGTCTGGACCCTCCCAGACGAGAAGTTTTAGACCCCCCCCGTGGGAGAACCCTCCAAAACATCGTCCCCAGACCCCCCCAGGCCCTCCAAGATAGCCTTGAAAAGACCCCCCCCGAAATGAGACCCCCCTCCCTTTATTACGAAATCTGGAGTAGGCGATGCTTAAGAAAACTTAAGTTTTCGGCCAGAGTCTCGATTATTCTTAACGTTTCAATGTAAATCCGAAGATTTCAATAGAAATTCTTGGTTTTTTATTCAAATCCTGAGACTCTGAGCCTCGAGACGGGGGTCAACGCAAACGGGGGTCAGCCAGGGCGCTGGATCCTGCAGGATCCTGCGAAGGCCCCCTCTGGCTGACCCGGGTTAGCGAGCCGCTCGTGGCCTCGAGGTGGCCGCTCGTATTGGCTGACCCGGGTTTGCGAAGACCTGCGTTGCAGTTGTTTTGTTCCTGCATTGCAGTTTGTGGTTTCCTGCTGACCCGGGTCTGGATTGACCCGGGTCAGAAGATCCCCGAATAGACCCTCCCTCCAAGTTCTCTCTTCATAGGCACCTATTACAGTTCACTTCCATAGAAGGAACTGCCTTTTTGCAAGGCAGCCGTTTGAAGACCCCGAAGCATGCCAAAACATGGTGTTCGCACTTGCGTTCCTGAATCGTGCCTCGACACCATTCCTAGAACTTCAACACAGCGAACCGACAGGATTGCTGCACCCGCGTAATCCAGAATCCTTTCAAATCATCGCCCTCAATCCGTGAAACTCTTGCAGATGTCTGAAAGAATGTGCGCGGCGCTGGGGCGAGAGCCACATTTTGAAAACGACCCGCCCTCAATCCGTGAAGCCCTTGCAGATTTCTAAAACGAGTTTGCGCGGCGCTGAGGCGAGAGCCACATTTTGAAAACGACCCGCCCTCAATCCGTGAAGCCCTTGCAGATGTTCAAAACGAATGTGCGCGGCGCTGAGGCGAGAGCCACATTTTGAAAACGACTCGCCCTCAATCCGTGAAGCCCTTGCAGATGTTTAAAACGAATGTGCGCGGCGCCAAGGCGAGAGCCACATTTTAAAAACGTCTCGCCCTCAATCCGTGAAGCCCTTGCAGATGTTTAGAAACGATGTCTATACACCGACGCTTTCCTCCGGCCATGCGCCGACACCTTGCGCAGGAAAGCGGATCCCGGTGTGTACAGGGCCCTGGCCCTGGGGTATCTATTTTTTGTCGTTTCCCCGGGGAACACGGGAAAAGAGGTATACACCACACCACCCCGACGTCCACGACCCTCAAAAAGACCTGGGATTAAAAGCAGCCTGCCACTAGTAATGTATACCCTCTTCCGACCTGAGAAGCCTTGAGATCCTGGCGTGACTTTTCCCGAGAGATCCGACGCTCCAAATCATTGGAGTTGGTGGCTTGGGGCTGTTTTCGGCCTCCCGGGGCCCTCGCCGGGCCCTGGGAAAAATCAACAAACGACTCAGGACGAGAAACTGGTCCTAGGGAAGTGGTCCAGACCTTCGGGGCCCATGCATCAAAAGAATTGGAGCAGCCGGATGTGGTTCACCATGGGTGCATATTCGTCCAGTTTTGGGACCCCAGGGCCCGCGCAGCTGGATCTGGCTCGAAACAAATGATGCAGAAAGATGGGGTCCGGGGCTCCGGTGGTGTGTTCTGCGGAGCTGCGTGTCTCTGCAGCGCCAGATCTGAGGGAGCGCAGCCATGCAGCTCTCGTGCCCCAGAGACCGCTGAAGAACCTCAGAAGACCACCGCAAACCGCCGTCAAGCCTGATGGGCAACACTGGGTACAGTTGAGACCCACGCCAAGAACATCTTTTTTTGCCTCCGGGGTGCCCTGGGTTTCTTGAGTTTCGACGGTTTTGCGATTGAGAGCGCGACGCTCCCACGCCAAAAATCCATGGACGTTCTGGGGTCTCAGGGTTGGGCTTCTTGTGGCAGGTCTCTTGTGGTCGAGCCCCTAAGTATTGTACATGGCCGAATGCGCAGCATCGGCCGCGTTAGTTCTCACACCCCGCAGTGGCTCAAAAGCTGGGCGAGGGCTGCCAAAACCGTGGCTGCTAAAACGGCCCTCCCGGAAGGACACAACAACTTCCCGGAATGCGGCGCGGTACGCGAAACAGTTGACGGGCTTCTTCCCGGAAGGACGAAGACCACTTCCCGGAGGTCGATTCTAGCAGCCACGGCTTTGGCAGCCCGTGCCCGGCTTCCGAGTGGCGCGCGGGGCGCCGCCGCCGTGAAGGCGACGCCGCCCGCCGCCATGCTCGAGCGACGGATCGCAGAGCGGCCGCGGCCGCGGGCGGGGGTCAGGAGGGAACAAAAACACAGACAAAGTTCACCATCGAGTCCCAGGAAAAAATGGAGGAAAACATGGGCAGTGGGGGGAGGACGAAAACTTCAGAATCCCGAAACGGTGCGGTGACAGACCGTGCGGTGACCTCGAAATCCCCCAAGACCTCACCGCACGGTCCATCAACGCACGGTCTTGGGACCTCGGAGGCCCCAGTCGCCCGAGACGTCCTGGGAGAACGACCCGAGTCCCACAACCGTGCGGTGACCCCGAATCCCCACCGGACTCACCGCACGGTGTGGTAACCGCACCGTTTGGGGCCCCCAAAAAACCGAGAACATCTGGGAAAAGCTGGGAGGGAGGGAGGGAGGGAGGAAGGAGGGAGGGAGGGAGGGAGGGGAATACTTGTTTAGTCGTGTGTGTCTACTTGTGTGTCCTGGGGCCCCTTCACGGGGGGGGGGGGGGCTCGTCTGTGGGCCCCCGGGGGGGCCCCGAGGGCGGGCCCGGTCGGCGGCGGGGGGAGAGGGGCCCGGGCGTCTTGGGGCCGGCTGTCGCCTGCCTCATCTCAGGAGGATAGAAAACACACAGACACTCAGAGCCCCGAATCATCAGGGGTAACTCGGGTCAGGGATGACTCGGGTTCGTTTTTCGGGGATCCAAGCCCGAGTTACCCCGGACCCGAGTTCCCCCGGATAACTCGGGCGTCCAGAGCCCCGAATCATCAGGGGTAACTCGGGTCAGGGCTAACTCGGGTTCGTTTTTCGGGGACCCAAACCCGAGTTACCCCGGACCCGAGTTCCCCCGGATAACTCGGGCGTCCAAGACACAATCAATCGTCGATTCCCCAGAAAGTGTGGGAAAATATGGGAAGTAGGAGGGGAGGCAAAAGCCAAGAAGATTTAGGAAAGTATGCGGGAGAGAGGCCCAGGCGTCCTGGGGCCGGCTGTCGTCTGCCACGGCCCCCCACTGCACCCCACCGCCCCGCGTCGGGGTTCTTCTTGATTAGGCCTCCTGGATGGGGTCAGAGGATCGCGCCGCATCGCTGATGCATCGACGATGCGGATCGATGCGGAGCCCGATTTTCTCCACGCCGGCGTCGCCGATGCATCGCCCACGTCGATGATGTATCGCCTGTGCATCACCAATGCATCGCCGATACATCGCCGATGCATCGCCGATGCATCGGCGATGCGGCGCCATCCTCCGACCCCATCTACTCCGACCCCATCTAGGAGGCCTCTAGTTTTGGGCCTGCAGCAGGCGTTTCTGCTCCGCCGGCCCAGAGACAGATGCACAGTTCGGCGGCGAGCGAGGGGGTGAAACGAGCAGGAGAAGGACTTCGCAGAAGGCGGCGGGACTTCACCGAGTTTATCCGCGAGGCTTGACTTGAAAAGCGACCCGCCCGAGCCTCGCCGTCTCTCGACGGTCTGACTGTTTGGCTTCGCGCCGCGGGCAACCCGCGCGCGTCGCTGGGGCCCTCTCGGGGCGACCAGCGCGCGTCGCGGGAATTCCGCGCTGCGCTCTGCCCAGAGCCTGCTCGCCCCCGTCGTCTCTTTGCCCGGCGGCCGCAGCCTTGCCCGCTGTCAACCAGCCAGTTAGTTCTCTCTGCTCCGCGCAGCAGACGACCCGCGCGCGTCGCCGGGACCCCTTCGGGGCGACCGGCGTGCGTCGCGGGGGCCCCATGTGGCGCCGCGCCCGCAGCCTTGGACATGGGCGCGCGCGGGCAAAGAGAGGGAGAAAAAAACGGGAAGGAAGCGGGCGCGATCCTCGGGAGGAGCGCGCCGACATGGGCGGCGACGCTTATGCGCGTGGACTTGATTCGCACGCGGACTCATTCACAATCAGAGTCACTCGCGCTCAGTCTCTCGCACGCAGACCTACCGTCTTCGCTCGCGTCGCGTGCCCCGCCACGCATCTCGGCGCGCCCCTCGCACGGCTCGTGGCCCCACAGGGGGCGCGGGCAAAGATGAGATTCAGAATTGCGGTATTCTCAACTGCGCACGGTTGGGTCCTTCGCCAGGATAATGTTTTTTTCGCCGTGTGTGGCATACTGTTCCTTTCGGTTCTCTCGACGAACTGCTCGACTCTGCCGCGTCGCCACAAGTATGTGTGTGCGTTTTGTGTAAATATGATATAAATGAATACCGCCCCCCCCCCCCGGCCCCGGGTCCCACACCTCCCCGTGACATTTCGGGAACGCTCCCAGTACCGCTCGCCCAGCCTTTCCGGGGAGCCTCCACAGCGCTATAGGAGGACCCAAGACGCTTCCCAAGAACCCCAGGAATCCGAAAAGATGGCCCAAGACGCTCCTAAGCAGCCCAAGGAGGCTCCCAAGACCGCCCCAAGATCACCCAAGAGACCCTCGGGACGGCACCAAGACGGGCCAAGAAAACTCCAAGACTGCCGAAGAGGCGCCCAGGACAGCCCCTGACCACCCCAGAACAGGCCCAAGATGCGTCCAAGAGCGGGAACAGGAGGTTTCCAGAGACCTCCGAGAGGCCTCTGGGGCACACCAGAGGCCCCCAACACACTCCCGAATCCTGAGAGGCCCCAAAAAGACCCCGACGAGGCTCCAAGAACAGCCTTAAAGAGCTACGAGAGCCG